TCACAATAAGAGTGTCAGAGGAACACGACGATGGACTGACACGGGGTGTGCTGTGGTGTAGTGTACCTGTGCAGGTGAGGGGATGCAGCTGAACCGACCTCGCAGCTCCCTGCTCGGGTTCAGCCTCCCCCCTCCTCCTCCTCCTCCTCCTCCTCCTCCCCCCCCTCCTTCCTCCTTCTCCAGTCAGTTCAGCACCCTGAGGTTCTCCTACCACCTCAGCCCCCCCACTCCACCGCAGCAACGCAGTGCCCCCCACAGGACAGGTAAGAGAACTGCAGCCTCTCTATCTTTTTTTTTCTTTTTTTTCTTTTTTTTTAATACTTTATTGCAGGCTGTTTTACAAGTTGTCATATTTCATTACATATTTTGTTCATCCTGGCACATTTTTATATATAATTTTTTAAACATACAAGAATACACACAACATTTGAAATAAAATAACAATAAATAAAAATCCAAAGAAAAGGTACGAAGAGAAAAAAGATTTAGAAAGAGAAACTAATCTAGTGTCTATAATAGTCTGTCTTTTGTTTTTCTCTTTCACGTAGCCTGACGTGCACCTCTTCAAAAATCTTAACTATACATGTCAAACGATGCTTGCATCTGATTGGTCCGCTGGGTAGCATCAAATTTCCTGCCTTTACAACATTTCCAGTATCACCGCCATATATCCAAAATTCTGCTGAAAGAAGCAAAGCCAGTTTAATAAAAACTGCTGCTCAGTATTCATCAGCTCTAACAACAACAACAAAAATATGTTCAGTTTCAGTCTCTATGGTTACCTGTACACAAACAAACAAGCACAGAATGTGGGAAATCGGAAACCAGTAGTATAACGAGCGTAGAAGTCGCAGTGCCTACAAGTGTGGTCCAGTAGAGTCGATTGTCTGTCAACCGGAAGGTGATGTGTTCAATCCCCAGCTCCTGCAGCTACATGTCCGATGTGTCCTCGGGCACCCCGAGGTGCTCTGGGTTGTGAATGTGTTTGAATGGGGTTAGTGAATGCTGATGCAGACTCTACCATCTGTCTCTACCATCTACTGGAGCTTGTATATTTCTCTTCTAGTCTTCTGACTCCTCAAAGCTCTTTTACCCCACAGGTCACACCTACACACCCTGATGATAATATATACTTTATTAATCCTGCGAGGGGAAATTCAGCTTTACTCTGTTTAATGAGCATGAACACACACAAACAGGATCCTATGGACATGCACTAATGGAGAGATGTCAGAGTGCCCCGGGCGGGTGCTCCTGAGCTGGTGGTGGGGAGGGGGTTTGGTGCCTTGCTCAGGGGCACCTCGGTAGTGCTCAGGAGGTGATCTGGCACCTCTCCAACTACCAGCCCAACTTCCATATTTGGTCCGCACCAGGACTTGAACCGGCGACCCTCTGGTTCCGAACCTAAGTCCCTACAGACTGAGCTACTGCCGCCCTAAGATGCTCATAGTGAAGGGAAAAAGATAATCTTAGATATAAAACAACGGAGCAGTGTTGGTCATACAGCAGCCGATGTCAAGAGACCGTTGTCATAGAGACAAGACGCACGTGCAGCGCTTTTATTCTCAGCGCTTTATTCAAGTATTTATAGCACGTAAAAACGCCAGGAGGAAACGGGACCCTTAATGGCCTAATCGGGCTGTAACTGTAGCTCCACTGAACCCGTGCATCAACAGAACGAGTGACTCGGAGCATCGGGCCCTGGAGCTCTCAGTCACCTGCAACACGAGAGCAAAGAAGAGCCAACCAAACAGGCCAGAGTGTCCACTGGGCCCTTTCCCATAATGCAACAATTCAGTATGGAGTGCGTGCTGTTCAGTAGACTGAACCCTCGTGGTCGTTCAGTGGTCATTGTTTGGCTCCACCTCAGTAATCTGAACATTTCAGCATGGATGCTAACTTCCTGGTTTTGAGCAGTATGGATCGGATGCATCATTTCAGAAAATTAGTTGTATTATAACACCCACAATGCAGTGCGAAGTTAACCGTCAAACGTCACTTCACGTGCACCTCCAAACAAGGACGAGGACGGAGGCCGTCGGCTCGGGTAAACGCGCCTTCCAAATGTTAAGTCGACGCGAGCTTCTACTCGTGTTTCTGGAAGGATCATCAGATTGTCCAGTTTCTGCTGGTGTATAAACGGTTTCTTTTGTTGTTTCTTGAGTTTCTACAGGTGTATAAACGGCGTTGGAGTTTCCACAGGTGTATCTAGAGGTCATATCAGAGATCTAGAGGTCATATCAGAGATCTAGAGGTCATATCAGAGATCTAGAGGTCATATCAGAGATCTAGAGGTCATATCTACTTTTGGATTTAGAGTCTCTGTGTTTCTGCTCAGTGTTGTTCAGACTTTTTACTGTTTCTGCTGCTTTTTCCAGAGTTAACAGTTTTTCTGTCGGGGGCGGACACATTTGTTGTTAATTATCCAGAGCCTTGTAGCTCCTCCCACTTCCTGTCTGCCCCGCCCCCCCGACAGGAAAAATAGAAATTAATACTTCTTTCAGCTGTGACATCAAACTGTTAACATCCTCCCCGACAGCTGAACTCTATTCAAAGTCACTTCAAGGCCACACACACACACACACACACACACACACACACACACACACACACTTAAAACTCACACTCCCCTCTCTCTCTCGTTCTCTCTCCCTCAGCATTTATAGATGTCCCAGGGGGATGGACGAGAGAGAGCCTGTCTCTCTTTGGGTCACTGGGTCGCTCACTGTTGCTGTAGGGGGAGGGGAGTGAGTGTGTGAGTGTGTGAGTGTGTGTGTGAGTGTGTGTGTGTGTGTGTGTGTGTGATCAGAGGTCAGACTGTAGTTTTATCTCCTCCCGTGTCTGAAGATAAAGGGTGTGTTTGTTTTTCCATCACTCAGATGTGTTAGAAGTGTTTGTGTGCGTTTGTTTTCCGGCCCCAGAGACAGACAGAGCCGGGTGGAGTTAAAACTAAATGTCAGCTCAGACACTTCAGGAACCACTGAAGGGGTGCGTTTGATTTGCTCGTCCCTACAGGACAGCAGTTCCATAACAGGGGCGTTTTTGTTCATGTGGTGAGCAGGCTGTGGGGTGGAGTTAGATTAATCAACACATCTTTAGAACAGCTGATTGATAGAAGTCTACGATGAAATGTCCCGACTCATCAGTTAAATTAATTTACATGCTTCTAATGACTTGATGGCCCGTTTAGAGCCACAGAGACCAGAAAGAGGGGGCGGGGCTACCTGGGGTTGACCAGTGGCTACCAAGGCAACCTGAAAATGTTTTCTTTGCACTAAAAGAAGCTCTCAGTAGACGACTGTTCAGGTTTTCTGTAAGAATGTTTTATCTAAGGAAGTGACCATATTTGGAGAAGAGGGCAGAGCATTCCTGGAGCGCCGCCCTCTTCTCCAAATGTGGTCACTTGAGGCTCTGAAAACTAAAAAAAAGTGTCAAAGCTAAGGCTGAAGGGCACATAACCTTTGAATGATGTCATGGTAACATCCACTTCCTGTGTGCTGGATGCTCTTAACAGAAACAGGAAGTAGAATGAAAATGTAGCTGAGAACAGAATCTTCAAAACAAGAAAGAGTAACGTGAACAAATAAACTGAAACATCTGATAAACAAACAAACAGAGAGGAGTGTGTGTGTGTGTGTGTGTGTGTGTGTGTGTGTGTGTGTGTGTGTGTGTGTGTGTGTGTGTGTGGGTGTGTGTGGTGTGTGTGTGTGTGTGTGTGTGTGTGTGTGTGTGTGTGTGGTGTGTGTGTGTGTGTGTGTGTGTGTGTGTGTGTGTGTGTGTGTGTGTGTGTGTGTGTGTGTGTGTGTGTGTGTGTGTGTGGCAGATGGTCGGGCTCTCGGGAAATTGGAGGTAAATCTCTCCATTTAGAGCAGAGACAGATTAAATGTTTTTATGATGATTCATAGAGAGACTGTTAGAGGGCCACCCGTCTCTCTCTCTGCTCACCCGTCTCTCTCTCTGCTCACCCGTCTCTCTCTCTGCTCACCCGTCTCTCTCTCTGCTCACCCGTCTCTCTCTCTGCTCACCCGTCTCTCTCTCTGCTCACCGGTCTCTCTCTCTGCTCACCTGTCTCTCTCTGCCCGTCTCTCTCTCTGCTCACCCGTCTCTCTCTCTGCTCACCTGTCTCTCTCTGCCCGTCTCTCTCTCTGCTCACCCGTCTCTCTCTCTGCTCACCCGTCTCTCTCTCTGCTCACCTGTCTCTCTCTCTGCTCACCCGTCTCTCTCTGCTCGTCTCTCTCTCTGCTCACCCGTGTCTCTCTCTGCTCACCTGTCTCTCTCTCTGCTCACCTGTCTCTCTCTCTCTCCTTGGAGTGTTAAGAGAGGAGGGCGTGGGGGGAGACAGCTCTCTACAATGTTTAGAATTTAGACTGCAGTACACATTTTAAACACTAGGTGTCAGAGTTACATACTGCTCCTTTAAGTTTCATGTTGACAGAATTAACTGTTATAAGTCAAAGTCTTATTACACAGATTAACGGATAAGGAAGTGACATTTTTGATGAACTGTGCCCCCCCCCCCCCCCCCTTCAGTTAAACCGTCTAAACCCACATATTGAGGGAGGAGGAGTCAGTCTTCAGTCTGATCCATGAACAGGTTTTATACCTTCATGGTTGAATGTAGGTCACATGTCACATTTCTTCTGTTTGTCAGTGGGATCAGATTTACACTGATCCCCCCCCCCCAAAAAAAAAAACCTGGCTTTCCCTAATTTGTTGTCAAGGAAACCAAAATGGAGGAGAGATAGAGAAGTAGCTACACCATCCCTCTCTCTCTCTCTCTCTCTCTCTGCCGCCCCCGCCCCCCCGCTCTCACACCGGGCAGCCCTCTGAATCAAACCGAGTGGATCTCTCTCTCTGTCGGTTGGCAGCAGCAGCTCGTCGGTCTGTCAGCCTCTGGACCGTCGCTGTGTGGTGTGTGTGTGTGTGTGTGAGAGAGAGAGAGGGAGTCCGAACCGTTCCTCTCCGGTTCGGTCCGTGCCTCGCCGTGTGTGTGTCAGCGTGTGTGTGTGTGTCAGCGAGCGTGTGTGTGAGTCTGACCCGGTTTCTTCTCCGTGCTGTGGACCGGGAGAGCCGCTCTCTCCCCGCACCGACGGATTCTTTAATGACCGGATTTGTATTTTGCTGCGCGATGTACATGGACAGAAGCAGCCTGAGCAGAGGTGAGCCTGCAGCGCGCACACGCACACGCACGCACACACACACACACACACACACACAGCCTCGTGTCATCTCGTCTCATTTTTGTATTTTCTTCATGCAGTCAAGCAGAAGATGCTGATGTGGTTCTGTAATGATGATGGGATGGGGGGGGGGGGGATGAGGTCCGCGAGCTCGCCACAGGCTGTCGCGCACGCGCACACACTGACCGACATCTCGCCGCAGTGAATGTAGGCTAGTATGGCTGCGATACTGCGGGTCTGCCAGCTGTGAGCCTCTGCACAACGAGAGGGGACAAACTGCTAATCGATTATTAAAGACCCGATCAGCTGATCGAGTATTTGAATGATCGAATATTAAGTATTCGATCGTGCTGTCTGCACGTTTTTATTTCGGCAGCAAATACATGACAAGCAGCTTCAACACTGTGTGTGTGTGTGTGTGTGTGTGTGTGTGTGTGGACTCCTAATCCATCGATTTTGAGCGTGGATTCTGATTGGAGGCTGATGTGGATGAACAGCAGGAAGAAGGAGCTGTCAGTGTGTGTGTGTGTGTGTGTGTGGTGTTGGTATGATTCTGCAGACAGACGGACACACCCCCTCCTCCACACAGATACACACATGTTAACCCCCGTGGTGCTGGTCTCTGCAGCATGCTGCAGGATCTCTGTAGGTCTCGGTCTCGATCACATTAGGATCAGATCTGTTGGTCTGGTCTGTTGTCAGACAGACAAATTAAAGATCCAGATCCACCCTGACACAGAGCATCTCCTCCAGTCCATCAGGGCTGATCGGGTGTGAGCAGACCGAGTGTGTCAGTCTGGTGGTCTGTGCTTGTCAAATCAAACCTTCAGTTGTTCTGTGATTCATCTGAAGAACATGACAGACTCTAATCCCTCAGTTTGTTCACATGATGTTAAAAAAGATCATCTAGCATGTTCGTGTGTTAACATGCTAACAGGGGCGTCTCCAGGATTTCTGTGCCCCATGAACAGATCTCAGATCGGGCCCCTCCATCCCCGCCTTGGCCACCCCTGAGATATCACTATGACCACACCTCCAATCCTTCCATAGCACAAACGACCACCGGTGTTTCCCACACAGAGACGATACTCTGATTGGCAGCTCCGGTATATGTACGGCTTTTTGATGCGTTATCTACGGTGGCCGGTAGGGGTCAAACACTCAGCAACTGATGAAACGACATACATTTAGAAAAACACATTTAGAAACGCTGCACATTCAAAAGCAAATGCAAACTACTACAGCAAATGCAAAGACATAAACTTGCTGCAAATAGGCAAAACAACTGCATCAGCATCAACAGAAACTGAAGCTTCTTATGCAGTCGTTTTGACATTTTTCTGCAGCTGCGGATCGTTGTGATGCGCGTCATCGATAAGCGGTGATGTGATAATGGGATATCGAGTGAAACATTTCAAAGCGTATGTTCTGTTATTTAAGCGTCTCTAACGTACAGCTGATGAATGTTGTCAAAAAAAATGCCGCCAGCTCTACCGCCCAGGTACACATCTCCTGCAGACCATACTCGAGTACACATGAATCAAGCCTGAGAACTCCTCTTCAAGCGGAGTTGGGTACGGTACCCCTTAAAGTCTTTAAATGAGATTTTTCACACTTAAATGTAGAAATCAAGTATATCCTCTGAAAATAACTCTGAGTCATGACTGTCTACAATGGGTGTAACACCCGAGTCCCACTGTCTGTGATGTTTTCAGAGTTTTCAGAGTCCTATCTTCACTTTGTTTACATCGCCGGGACGGCCGGCTGACTCCTCCCCTTGTGTATAAAAGTTGTTTAATTGAGGGACTAGAGAAAAGAAGAATAACATACTGTACTCACTGCTTAACTGTGTTTCTAGATCACGCTCATTTCAGGTAAATTTACATGCAGTGTGAAGATACCAGCATAATAAAGATCGCTAGCATTAATGAATATGGTGAGCGTCAGCAGCTGTAGAGCGAGATTTAGAAAATGAGGACACACCACCGTCTTTTAAATCAGAGGTGTGGAAGCATTTCGGCTTCAACAAGACAGAAAATGAAAGAGGTGAGAAGATACCAGACGAGACAAAAACTGTGCAAATGTTACAAGACAGAACTACACAAACAAAACAACCAACATGATGCAGCTCCAGTCACCTCCCCTTGTTGATAAAAAAAAACTTTGAAAGGCCAAACCACACTGACAAGCGGGTTTGAGCCCCTAAAGGAATCTTTCAGTCAGACTGTGTCTACAGAATCATTTTGTAAAGTAAATCATGAGAGAGAGAACCGTTCCTAGTACCTGTGTACATTTGTGTTCACACTGATCAAATGAACCAGACTTGGTCCAGGATTTGGTTCCTAATATGAAACCGCCCTTAGTGTATAAAGTTCCTCGAGTCTAGAACCTTCTCATTCACCCAGAACCTCCTGAGAACTAAATGTTCTCCAGGATCCCTCTGATCTCCTTCATGGTGATAAAACTCTGTTCAGGATGAGGACGACCCTCAACAGAGTTTACGTCCTCCTGAGCGACCTCAGTGACCGCCAGGCTGATGAGAACTTCATCAGCAGAACCTGGAGAACCTCCTGACACTGAACTGAACTTCTAGACCTCCTGCTCTCCTCTCACACATTTTAAGAATAAGGTTTCACTGATTTCCCTTAATTTATTTTTCTTACAAAAAGATTTCGAGCCGCTGCAGTGGATTTTGTTAAGGAGAAAGATGTTTAGAGGTCAAAAAACAGGCGCCAAGCTGCAAAAAATCTAATCTCAGCGAGTTTATTTGTTGAATTTTCAGCCGTGCAAATGAGACGACTGAAATGTTCAGTGGGTAACCTGAGTTTCTACTGACCCACAAAATGTGAAATAAACCCATCCAGTCCTTTGTTTGTGGTCTGCATAAGTCTTACAACACAGAGAAAAGTGCTCCGTTACAAATTTACTCTCCTTGTGATGTCACAGTGGGATTCTGGGAAAAAGAAATCCCCTCCTCTCCCCTGGTATCTCCACCCATGACTAGAGCAAAACTTTTGTTCAGGTCCTCCGTTTTCATTCTCTACAGAGGAGTGATGTCTACGGGGAAAACTCAGGGGGGGGGGTCATTGCATTTAAAGAGACACACACACCAAAACGGAGCGTTCTGAGAGAGCTGGTTTCTACAGGGTCACAAACCTCCTCTGGTGCTTGATTCATGTTATATTCTGACCAAAGCACAGCACAGATGTTTCATTTAGACCACAGAGGACTGTTTGAAAAGGTGGAGGAGGGGGATCATATGTCCTCTTTAAAATAACTGTCCGAGTCTGCACCCTAGACACCAAATATTTTTTAATCCATTGTTTTTAATCACCAAACATTATTTTCAGTCAGACTCGTGCACACTGTCTACATTTTACAAAGAATTAAGAAATGCTGTGATGCTGAAATGTTGCCAATGCATTTGTTCAATAAAGCGAGTGTGCAGGAGTTTGTCTCCAATTCTTGATGGATTCATTCCTCTCCTACTCACCTGTGTTATGAAAGAGATGGGCTGGTTTTTGTTAAATCTTTTGTGACAGATTGTAGTGAAAATCTCGACAACCTTAGAATATGTGGAATATGGTGTACATAGAAGATCATATTTCCTGCTTCACTCTGCTGCACGCCTCCGTTTCATTCTGTTCTGTTTCTGGAGACTCTCTGCAGCTCAGCCTACATCACTGTCACTCGTCTGTGTGTGTGTGTGTGTGTGTGTGTGTGTGTGTGTGTGTGTGTGTGTGTTTCAAGGTGACAGTTAAGCCGTTAAGTCTGTCATGTTCTTTCCCCTTCTCGTCTCTACACTTTGAATTTTTCAGATGAATCTCAGTTTTTCAGTCTGTGTGTCCAAACAGGATGTGGTTAGCCTAGCTTAGCATAAAGACTGGAAGCAGAGGGAAACTACTAGCCTAGCTACCGTAAGAACTCACTACCACACCATCTCTGTATCGCTTCATCATGGGGGTCGCTTGTTCTCCTTCTGGCTCGCCGTAAGGGAAGTTACATCTGCACGACCAAAGAACAGCGTTTACTTTTTCACCCAAAGGTACGATAAAAAAAAGGACAAAAACATAATAACGTACCATCCACCGAAAACCTGATCACCATGTGCGCTGCCATTTCTGAATTGTCATCAAGCGCGTCATCAGAACAATTGGACTCACGCTGTCGGGAAAACGTTAAGGGGGGGAGCGCTCCTACTTTATGGTCTCATAAACAGCAGCTGGGAATGATGTCACACCCGAGTTGACCTGGAAACTTGGATTTTCTGACTTCCGAGATCAAAGGAACTCACCATTATTCACAGGATGTGATGGGGGGTTCGGTCCTCAGAGGGATTCTGGGTAATGTAGTTTGTTGAGTCAGACTGAAACACTGACGACTCAGAGGAGAATAAATCCAACTGAGCCGAAGAAAATCTGTTTAACTTACCGTTTAATGCAGACGGCTGTTATTAGACCACACACACACACACACACACATACACACACACACACTCACACACACACACACACACACACACACACACACACACACACACACACCATCTGCTTTACATTAGCCTGTTGATGTTTTCCCATGACCTCTCCCATCATGTTCACATCTGTACACACACACACACACACACACACACACACACACACACACAGCTTCCTGTTTGTTGAAGTTGATTAGTTGTTTTGTTTAAATAATTGATTTCCATACTATTCATTTGCTGCTGTTGTTTTCTGAGGTTTTTTTGGCGCTTGAAGATATTTTTAAATCAGTAAATAATTATTTTAACCCCCACATGTGCTCTGACCAATCAGATGGCCTGTGTCCTCTCTGATGTCGAGGTTAGCGTTCGGTCTCAGGGAGCAGACGAGCAGGACATCCAGTGTTGAACAATGAAGATATTGCAGAAGTGCATAAAACTGCAGTTCCTCGAGTGTCCACTTGAGGCAGTCTGTAGAAGACCTAGAAGCAGATTTTGGTGTTTATTGTTTCCAATGTACGGGGGTTGGACTTTTTAATAACACACACGTTAGGATTTGATGAAGGATAAGAGTTAAGCACAGTTAGGAGCGTGATGGATCTGAATTTGTAGCCGTTTATCAGGAGGTTAATAGAGTCAGTATTTCCAACATGGCAACCACCATGGATAAGCTTCAGAAACAGCCCTTCAGAAACTAACGTGTGACGTCCCTCAGGCTGACGTCCATATTTATATAGAGTGTGTGGGAGCAGATGAGATGTTGATGTTTGGTGTCAGTATCAGAGGATCCTTCAGATCAATAATCAATAAGTTTATCCACAGCTGATGTTGGTGCAGTGCAGAGAACAGGTTTCTTTTAAACTTCGATATGATGACGATGTTAATACCTGTTTGTAACCATAGCAACAAAAGTCCTGGATACCCAAATATTGGGTCATTTCTTGTTTTTATTTTTTTCAAAAATTGCAAGAAAACTCGTGCACATTGTCTAAATTGATTTGTTTCTTTTTTTTTTTGGCACATTTGGAAGATAGGGTAGAGCTGGAGAGGACCGAGGGGCTCCTTTCCTATTGGTCCTCTCTCTGCGTTACAAATACAACTGAAGATCTGTGTTTTTTTATTTCAAATTTCTGTACTTTTGTATCGTTGTAGAACACGTGGTATTGTAAAGTTTTGACAACCTTAGATTCTGATTCTTATAAATAATGAATCTGTCTGAGACAAGAAAGGAAACAAATCCATCCGCGTGCCCAAATATGGTCGCTTCTGGTTTTAAAAAACAATGTGGTGACGACTTCAATATAGTTTCTGATTATTTTATATCCTGTGAAAATCATTATGGTTGATTTTCTTATTGATAGTTTATAAACTGAACAAAGCTCTGTGATTTTAAACAGTGCTTTGAGTCTCTGTGCGCGGTCATGTTGCAAAGCCGCCTGGGAGTTGTAGTTTCCGTTGTAAGTTCACAACACAAACGTCCTGAGCAGAAAAATAACTGTGTTACTACAGAGTTCGCTTTAAATCTGACCTTTTAAATGATTCATATCAGCCAATCAGCTGTCAGGAAGCGCTGAGGCTCAACCAATGAGCTGCAGCCGTGACAGACCGCAAATATGTGCTCCTTTCTCCATGTGGAGGTTATTTCTGTCCTCATGTGGAAGCTATTAGTGTGTGTGTGTGTGTGTGTGTGTGTCTGTGTCTGAGTGTGTGTGTCTGAGCATGTGTGTGTGTGTCTGAGTGTGTGTGTGTCTGAGTGTGTGTGTGTCTGAGCGTGTGTGTGTGTGTGTGTGTGTGTGTGTGTGTGTGTGTGTGTGTGTGTGTGTGTCTGAGCGTGTGTGTCTGAGTGTGTGTGTGTGTGTGTGAGCATGTGTGTCTGAGTGTGTGTGTGTCTGAGCACGTGTGTGTCTGTGTCTGAACGTGTGTGAGTGTGTCTGTGTGTGTGTGTGTGTGTGTGTGTGTGTGTGTGTGTGTGTGTGTGTGTGTGTGTGTCTGAGCATGTGTGTCTGAGTGTGTGTGTGTCTGAGCGTGTGTGTCTGAGCACGTGTGTGTGTGTGTCTGAGCGTGTGTGTGTGTGTGTGTGTGTGTGTAAGCTGTTATTATTATTAGTTTACTTCGACTCACCACAGTCTAACCGTCTGTCTGCTTGGTTTCGGGTTCAGAGGTTAAAAGACAAAAACATGACGATGTTAAATAATAATAATATAATAATAATAATAATAATAATAATAATAATAATAATAATAATATAAAGTAACTCAAACTGTTAAATGAGACATTTTAAACATTAAATATCAGATCTGAGAGAGTGAAGTCAGACTCCCTCTGTTGTTCTCAGCTCTGTGTTCACACTGACAGGACGACAACTCCTGCAGCTTGTTTACATTTCACTCAGAGGCTCAAACATGTTTCATAGCCCCTCCCTCTCTAAACATTGTCTCTGCCCTCATGGGGGAATAGAGACTCCGCCCACTCAGGGACGCCGTTTCTCGAGGCATGAGACATGAGATGATCAATATGTGACCTGTCCCCCCGCCTCCCCCCCAGGTCCCTCCTCCTCCAGTCCCAGTTTGCTGACGAAGAGTCTCTCTCTGGAGCCGTCCTGCTCGCCTTGTGGCCACAAGGTGGCGCTGGATGCCGACACCCCCCAACAAGCGCTCTCTGACCCGGGGCCCAGCTCCTACTCCTCAGGCCCCGCCTCCCCGGACGGAGGGGCTGAGCTAACAGAGCGCCGCAGCTCTGCCGGTGGGCTGCTCCTGGTGAACAACACGGGGCCGCCGGAAAGACACGCTACCACGATAACGCCACCGAGCAAGAGAGTGCCGCTGCCGGGGCCGAAACCGCAGGGTGACAACTTTATTTAAACTTCAACATTTACAATTTGTTTTTTTAAATATCCAGTAGCGTTAATGTGTTAATGAACCTGAACCCTCCACAGTCCCACCGAAGCCCCCCAACCTCCAGCAGCAGGCGGGAGTGTCCAGGCCACGCCCACGGGCACCTGAGAAGCCCCTCCCCCCTACCCCACCATGCAGACCCCTACCAGCTGATCCCCGGGGAGGTCGAAGTCCCCCCAACCGCACTGATGGCACCGCCTCCCCCTCCTGTGTCCTGTCACTCATCGGGAAGTTTGAACGGTGAGTTCTGATTGGTCCATCGAGAAGTGATGTCATCCAGTAATCCTTTATGGAGATATTTACAGGTGTGTGTGTGTGTGTGTGTGTGTGTGTGTGTGTGTGTGTGTGTGTGTGTGTGTGTGTGTGTGTGTGTGTGTGTGTGTGTGTGTGTGTGTGTGCGCATGGAGCAGATCATCATCGTTCCTGACATCACCGGGGGAGCTTTGTGTCCGCGCCTCCCTGAACTCCCGTCCTCCCGACCTTCATCTCCTCCATCATCATCAGCAGCCCCTCCCCCACCCGCTGAGGAGCTGCCGCCTGAGCCCCCGTGTCATGATGACATCACAGTGAAGGGTGGCGGCGGCGAGGAGGGCGACCTACATCCCAATGAGGATGACGAGGATCATAACGATGAAGATGACGATGACAGTGACGACGATGAAGAGCTGGCGGCGGCGTGCCGCGACGACCTCCATCAGAAGCGCCTCTCCATGGAGTCGGGTTACAGCGCCTCGGAGAAACACCTTGAGGACGACGTGGTTGCCGTGGAGATGAGGGAGC